AATAGTAATATAAGAATAAACTTCATTTGCATTCTCAGAACTGTAAACCCACTTTTGCCCATCTCTATATTTATTCAAAATATTGTTGTTTTAGCCGAAACCGGTTTGGCTCAATGGATAGAGCGTCGGCTTGGGGACTGAAGGGACCCGGGTTCAATTCCGGTCAGGGGCATGTACCTTGGTTGCGGGCATTTCCCCAGTGGGGGGTGTGCAAGAGGCAGCTGATCGATGACACTCTCTCATCGATGTTTCTAGCTCTCTATCTCTCTCCCTTCCTCTCTGTACAAAAACAATAAAATATATTATATATATATATATATATATATATATATATATATATATATATATATATATATATATATTGTTGTTTTAGAAATCTATGGATTCTTTTAGTCAGGTGGTGGACCATTGCAATCCAAGTGTTTACATCAACCCAAGAATCAGCCCATTCTGCTTTCTTTTCTTTTTTCTTTTAAATATGTTTCTATTGATTTTAGAGAGAGGAAGGAAAAGGGATAGAGAAATAGAAACATTGATGAGAGAGACACATCAATTGGCTGCCTCCCGCACGCCTATCCCACCCCTTCGACCACAGATGGAGCCTGCAACCTGGGCAAGTGCCCTGACCTGGAATTGAATCTGGAAATCTCTTGGTTCATAGGTCAATGCTCAACCACTGAACCACCCCAGCCAGGCCCATTCTGATTTTTCTTCAGATTGCATTGGCCCGGTTTCAGTCAATGCCATGTTGTGAAACAGCGGTAAATATAAGTAATTCCTCTAGGAGTCCTTTTTATAACAAAGAAGGTCATGAAAGTGAGGTCATGAGTGAAACTTGCGTGATGTAGAAGTCATGAGAATCATTAGCTATTATTCCTCTGAGAATTATCCCTTCTGAAACTGCCTCTCATGCTGACCAGCCCTAAGGCTATTGGCCAGAACCCAGTGAATGAGTTGTCCAAGACAAGGGGTGGTGGTGCTTTTTCTTAATTAACCTATATTGATTAGCAACATCTAAAGATGATTCACTGTCAGAATGACTGTGAGTCACTGGAAAACCTGGACTTTTCCCAAATCCTACCTCAGAGTGAAGAATAGTGGACATGTTCTGCAGTTAATTTAGGAACGATAAAGATGACTTAACCAGAGTTCTTTCAAAGCCCTCTGTCTAGCTTCTACCTGTCTCCACAGGCAGACCCACACATATCTACTCAAAACTTTCAGTATCCTGCTTAAGCTGTAACAATTTAATGTACAAAATTATCATAATTCAGAATATCTATGCATTGAAACAATAGGCAAAATGTGCTAAAATCAAACTTTCGTGAAAATACATTATTGAGTGAAAAAAGTATCTGATGGCTCAGCCAGTGTGGCTCAGTGATTGAGCATCTCGACCCATGCACCAAGAAGTAACAGGTTCAATTCCAGTTAGTCACATGCCAAGATTTTGGCTTAATCCCCAGGAGGGAGCATGCAGGAGGCAGCTGATCAATGGTGGTGTTTCTATTTCATGTTGATGCTAATGTTTCTATCTCTCTCCCTCTCCTTTCCAATTCTCTCCAAAATCAATAAAAACATATTTTCAGGTATATGATGCATAGTGTATCTATAACATGGTTTCATTTATGTGAGCAAATAAGATACTACTAGATATGCATTGAAAACTAAAGTCTGACTATCTATTAACAGGAGTTCTTGAGAATTAAGAGAGAAAATAGCACAATGAAATTTCACCTTTTTATCTTATACACTCTGCTGTACTGTGTCAGTGTCTTATAATGAATATGTTTTACTTTCGTAATTCCTACAAGAACAATTTCAAAAGGAAGCCCACTTTTTAACCTGTATTCTTTTTCTTAATTAAATTTTATTGGAGTGGCATTAGTCAACATGAACATATCAGTTTCATGTGTGGATTACTAAGTTATAGGACTATGTGCCCACCACCCAAAGTCAAGTCGTCTTCTGTCACCTCATATTAAGATCCCTTCCTCCTCTCCTACCCCCCTCCTTCTGGCAACCACCACACTGTCTGTTCATAAGTTTCAGTTTTATATCTCACATATGAGTGAAATCATATAGTTCTTAGCTTATTTTGTCTGACTTACTTCACTTCGTATAATGTTCTCAAGGCCCACCCATGTTGTTGTAAATGATGCCATTTTTTTAATATATTTTATTGATTTTTTACAGAGAGTTAGGGAGAGGGATAGAAAGCCAGAAACATCGATGAGAGAGAAACATGGATCAGCTGCCTCTTGCACACCCCCCACCGGGTACATGCCCTTGACCGGAATCGAACCCGGAATCCTTCATTCCGCAAGCCGACGCTCTATCCACTGAGCCAAACCGGTTTCGGCTAAATGACTCTATTTCATCCCTTCTAATGGCCATGTAGCACTCCAATGTGTATACATACCACATCATCTTTATCCAGTCCTCTATCGCAGGGCACTTTGGCTGTTTCCAAGTCTTGGCCACTGTGAATAATGCTGTAATGGGTGCATATATCTTTGCGTATATATGACTTGGAGTTCTTTGGGTATATACCCAGGAGTGGGGGTGCCTGGTCATGTGGTAGCTTTATTTTTAATTTTTTGAGGAACCACCAGACTGCTTTCCACAGTGACTGTACCAGTCTACATTTCTACCAGCAGTGCATTGAGGGTTTTGCCACAACCTCTCCAACACTTGTTGTTTCTTGTCTTGTTGATAATGGACACTCTAACTGGTGTCAGGTGGTATCTCACTGTAGTTTTAATTTGCATTTCTCTAATTGCCAGAGAGGTTGAACATCTTTTCATATATTTATTAGTTGTTTATATGTCTTCTTGGGAGAGATGTATTTTCAGGTTCTCTGCCCACTTTTTGATTGGGTTGTTTGTTTGGTGTTGAGTTTTATCAATTCTTTATATATTTTGAAAATTAAACCTTGGCCAGAGCTACTGTTTACAAATATCATCTCCCATCTGGTCGGCTGCCTGTTTGCTTTGTTATCCATTGCTTTTTCTGTGCAGAAGCTCTTCTGTTTTATATAGTCCCATTCATTTATTTTTTGCCTTTACCTCCCTTGCCTTTAGGGTTAAGTCCATAAAATGCTCTCTGCCATCCAGGTACATACATTTGGTACCTATATATTTTTTTATATGACTTATAGTTTTAGATCCTTAGGTTTAAGTCTTTGATCCATTTTTAATTAATATATAATATGTGCATGGAAACAAACTGCAATCCAGTTTCATTCATTTGAATGTGTCTTTCCAGTTTCCCAGCACAATTTATTGAAGAGACTATCTTTACTCCAATATTCATTTCTGGCTCCTTTGTCTGAAATTATCTGTCCAGCCAGGACCAGTTTGGCTCAGTGGATAGAGCGTTGGTCTGAGGACTGAAAGGTCCCAGGTTCGATTCTGCTCAAGGGCATGTATGTTGGTTGCGGGCACATCCCCGGTGGGAAGTGTGCAGGAGGCAGCTGATCAATGTTTCTCTCTTATGGATGTTTCTAACTCTCTATCCCTCTCCCTTCCTCTCGGTAGAAAATGAATAAAAGTTTTTTAAAAATAAATAAATAAAATTATCTGTCCATATACATGTGGTCACTCTCACCACTCTGGTTTGACATAGTACTGGAAGTGCTAGCCATAGTGATCAGACATGAAGAAATAGAAAGCATTCAAATTGGAAAAGAAGTAAAATTGTCCTTATTTTCAGATGACATGGTACTGTACTTAGAAAACCCTAAAGACTCCATTAAAAAACTACTAAACTTAATAAGTAAATTTGGCGATGTTGCAGGATGCAAAATTAACACCCAGAAATCTATGGATTTTTAATACACCAATAATGAACTCACAGAAAGAGAAATTTTAAAAATCCCACTTTCCATTACAAAAAAATTAAGGTACCTAGGAATAAATTTAACCAAGGAGGTAAAGGATCAGTACTCAGAAAATTACAGGATACTAAAGAAAGAGATAGAGGAATAAACATATTCTTCCATAAACAAATGGAAGAATATGCTGTGTTCATGGATTGGTAGAATCAACATCATTAAAATATCCATATTACTCAAAGCAATCTATAGATTCATTGTAATGCCCATTAAAATACCAATGGCATACTTCAAAGATCCAGAACAAACTCTCCAAAAATTCATCTGGAATAAAAAATAAATAAATAAATAAATAACCCCAAGTAACTGCAGCAATCTTTAGAAAGAAGTACAAGGTTGGAGGGATCACAATACCAGATTTCAAGCTTTTTATAAAGCCACTGTTCTCAGAACAGCCTGGTTCTGGCCCAAGAACAGACAAATAGACCAATGGAATAGAATAGAGAATCCAGATATTGACCCAAGCCATTATGCTCAATTACTATTTGACAAAGGAGGCAAGAGCATACAATGGAGTCAAGACAGTTTCTTCAATAAATGGTGTTGGGAAAATTGGATGCATACATGAAAAAAATGAAACTAGACCACCAACTTACACCATACACAAAAATAAACTCAAAATGGATTCAGGACTTAAATGTAAGGCAGAAAACCATAAAAATCTTAGAAGAAGCCATTAGTAGCAAAATATCAGACATTTGTCGTAGTAATGTCTTTACTGATACAGCTCCTGGGGCAATGGAAAATAAGGAGAAAATAAACAAATGGGACTACATCAAAATAAAAAGCTTCTGCAAAGCAAAAGAAACCATTAAAACAAGAGAACCCACTGCATGGGAGAACATATTTGCCAATGTTATCTCTGATAAGGGTTTAATCTATTGATAAGATCATATGATTTTTTCCCTTTCTTTGTTATTGTGATGTATTATGTTGATTCATTTGCAATTGTTGAATTATCCTTGTGCCACTGTACTAATGCATGCATCAGGGAGCAACCCTTGGAAGACAAGGTTAAGTGATAAAATCTTGAGTTTACTGCATTGATGCATTAATGAGCAAGATTGTTTTTTGAAACTGGTTTTTGTCTTGTTTTGTTCTTCAGCTTTATCTATAAGTGATCCATCTTTCGGAAGCCACGAATTATGATGGATGTCATTTGATTCCTTTCATATTCATAAAAAGACACATATTCAAATGCAGTGCCAGGCTTTTTCTACAGATGGCATCCTATTTTATGTGGCACAACACCTAACAGCACAATCAGGTAAGGTTAAGGTTGGCAGGATCTTTGGGGGGGGGGGGGGGGGGGGGGCGGTCCTAATGAATTCCTGATAGTTCATTAGTGATAGGTGATGAAGTTTTTTTATTTAAGTCACCTCACCTATCAATATGTAATCACTTTGATACTTTCATGTTCTATTGTTACTGTGAGTGTTATATTTATGAATTGACTCCTTAAATATAAATGTTAATAAAATAGCAAGAGCTTTGTTAGAATTAAAGTTAGCAAAATCCAAATATAGCATACCGTATTTTTCGGACCATAAGACGCACCAGACCATAAGACGCACCAGTTTTTAGAGAAGGGAAATGAAGAAAAAAAGATTCTGAAACAAATAGTGTCCTAAAATATTTTATGTGCATTAAAACATTTGACAGTTACCGGTATAATAGTATGAAGAGAAATTCTGACCCAGCGGCGTTATCAATCAGGGCATCCAGCAGAAGGGGTACAGGCGATGATTACGGTTTGGATTACACAGTTACCGTCCACCGCACCTGGGCTGACATGGAGATATGGCTGCAGCGAGGGCATGGAGGCTGACTACCATACATGGGAACTCCTCTACCACTCGGGGTTTACAGAGCGGGGCAGACACTCTGGGCACGGAGGAATGGACAGTGGCTGCAGCAAGCACACAGAGCCGGGCAAGCACACAGAGACCACACAGAGCCGGGCAAGTAAAAAAACTTTTTTTTAAAGTATATGTGTAGGCTATATTTGGACCATAAGACACAGGGACTTTTTCCCCCCAGGGAAAAAGTGCGTCTTATGGTCCGAAAAATACGGTAATCTCAGATTTATAATAATCCCATCAAAAAAAGGTTGAAGCCATATCGAATTTTCTCCGTCAAAAGGAACAAAATATGCATATAACAGATTTGTATTTTGTTTTGTTTTTTTTAAAAAAGAAGAAGGCATGCTGATGTTTGCCAATAAATCTGTCCACATTTACAGCTCCAAAAAATTTTCTTTAAGTTGTTCTGTCTTCTAAATGGTAAAAATGTAGGATCTACTTCCCAAATTAAGTTTATAAAAAATATTAACTATAAAATTTGCATATCTATTAGAAAAGAATATGGAATAACAATAGCTAAGTATAATACTATGCTTTAGTTTTAAAAATTAATATTTGAGTTTTTACTTTGTTCTTAATTTACTTTTTTATATTGTTCTCCAGAAGTTAAAAAAGATATTTGCATGCATTTTTACTACAAAATCTTTGTAAAATTTTACATTTAGGATTTTTTGTTTGTTTTTCAGAAAATGAAATTTTTGTATTGAGAAATAACTAATTTAGTTTTCTTCTCATGGTCAACAGAAATCATACCTGATTTTCACAATCTAATCTAATCATTTTATGGTGCTTTAATATGTTATTAAATGATAATATTAGAGAATTAGACCAAAGTGGTTCCGTCTCAATGCACTGTTGAAACACCTTCAAAATAAATGCAAGGAGAAATGATACTTTCAAAGAAAAAAGATAACATGATTGAGCTACAAAATATACCTTGGAAGAAATTTTTCTCCTGAGATTTAATATTACTATATTTGGTTTTAAATTTATGATTAATTTAAATATCTGTGAAAATGCTTAATGAGAAAATTTCTGTTTATAAATCTGGAGATATTAAGAGGTAATTGACTTCAGTTGTATTGCTCATTAAAAATACCCTCAGAGTTAACCTTTGTACAGTAAGGGCAGAAAATCAAGAACTATTCGGGACTGGCTAAGAATGCTTTACCATAATTTTATAATCAGTAGCTACACTTCACAGTATATAAAATTAAAAGCTCATACACATTAATAATCATAGGAGGCAAGAATACTTTTTTGTTACATGTTATTAGAAGGCATTGTATTACAGTTCATGAAAGTCAAGATTTTCCTTTTACCTTCTATTAGACACTATTTACAAAGAGAACTAAAAATAGACTAATTAGTGTTATGTCCTGATTGGTGCTGTTTCTGACTTATGTAAGGAAATAATAAAAACTTTAAAATGTAAAAAAAAAAATATCTAAGCTCTAAATTTGCAGACTTAGATTAACCTAAAGGTAATTATCAGTTGAAAGCCATATACTTATTTATTAGTAATCAACTGGTGTAACAAGGGGTGAAGTATAATTCACTTACTGAAGGTTGCATAAAATAAAGGTGATTGTCCTGTACTTTGTCCCTTCTCTAAGAACCACATCTTATGGAAACATTAACTGAGCCTTCTAGCTCATCCTCTGCTAAAAGGAGCTATTAATAAAAATTAAAAAAAAATACCCACCCTGGCCAGTGTGGCTCAGTTGGTTCAGTGTTGACAGTGTCTGTCTCTCCCTCTCTCCTTTCCTCCCTCCCTCCCTCTCTCTCTCTCTCTCATTCTCTTTTTTCTCATTCTCTTTCTTTCTCTCTCTCTCATTGTCTTTCTTCCTCTCTCTAACTCTATCTCCCTCTCCTTTCCTCTATCTCTAAAAATCAATAAAAACATAATTTTTAAAAATACCCACTTAATACATAATATCAAAAATCATAAATTTAGATTTTCAACAGCCAATTAGGTTTTCATAAATGCCAAACCAAGTTCTTAATTAACAAGGTTTTTGTGTCTTTTGTGTCTTTTTAGAGATAAAAAATTGGAATAATTTCGAATAGTGTAAAATTTAAAACAAAAGGATCATTTGAAAATTACCACAGTTCATTTTAGATCTCTGATTTTGGAAAGAGATAAGTCTATGGCACCTGTTTATCTGTTTTTGCTAAATATTTACTATCATAAAATTAGTTTTGACACAAAATTATATTGTTAAGCAAGATTTAGTCACAGATTGCTGAATTCCTCTTGATATAGTTATTATCCTCCCAGACAAATGTATATTAAAAAGCCTAGTCAACTATAATATAAAGTTAAAGCATATCCAAACAACTGAACGATGGAAGTTATATTATCTTTGTTTTACTTTCCTGGAGAAGTATAAAAATTTCCCTAATAAGCTGTCTATAGTCTCTTCACAACTGTGAGGTCCTCCCAGGTTTCATTGATCTGTGATGCATGGTGAGGGCAATGATAGCACAGAGGAGGCAGGCAGGGCCTTAGGCCTGGTTAGACATGGTTCAATAGCCAGAGCGCATTCATTCACTTAGGAGCTCACTTTTATGTGAGGACCATCCACTAGTGTTGAGCCTTTAACATTCATGTGCCCTAATGCCAATTTTACTCATGATCCATGCCTACAGCACCATTTCCTAGTCAACTAAAATAAAAGGTCTGGCCGAAACCGGTTTGGCTCAGTGGATAGAGCTTCGGCTTGGGGACTGAAGGGTCCTGGGTTCGATTCCGGTCCAGGGCATGTGCCTTGGTTGTGGGCATATCCCCAGTAGGGGGTGTGCAAGAGGCAGCTGATCGATGACTCTCTCTCATCGATGTTTCTAACTCTCTCTCTCTCCCTTCCTCTCTGTACAAAATCAATAAAATATGTTATAAATAAATAAATAAATAAATAAATTAAAAATAAATAAATAAAATAAAAGGTCTGCGTGCCAAAGAGCTGCAAATACAGCTCAGTGCAATTGTAGCTCCCAGGGCCACAGAGGGAGAGAAAAACCCCTTCTTTGTCCATTTTTAAGAATCTACCAGCAAAGCCATGTTAAAATAAGTAGTTCTCCTTACTTTTCTTCCAGTTGGCAACTTGACCAGTGATGTAATAGATCACAGATTTCCTAATCATGTTGTAGCTACTTTTTATTCCAGTGTAGCGCTTCACTGTGAGATTGTTTGCTATAGGACATTACAACAAAGGTAGCAAGAGAAACGTCTCCCTCTGTGCTGTGAGAGAGAATGGTGTCCACGTGCAAGGCACAAAGTATATTCAAAGTGCTATGGATTTTTTAGTTCTTTTGCTGTTGTTGTTTTGTTTGTTTGTTTGTTTGTTTGTTTTAGAGGAACAGAGGGAGAGAAATATCCATCAGCTGCCTCCTGCATGTACCCCAACCACGGATTGAACCCACAACCTGTGTATGAGCCCTGACCAGAAATAAAATCTGCCACCTTTTGGTGTAAGGGACAATGTTCCAAACACCTGAGCCACACCAGCCAGGGCCAGAGTGCTATAAATTTTTAAGACTTAATATCAATTGTTTCATTATTTTAGTTTTTTATGGTATACACATTTTAAGGAATTCTACCTGAATTTAATATTATCTTGTAAAATCTGTTTGCAATGTTGCTTCTCTTTCTTTAGACTTCACATGTGTTCATGTTAGAAAACAGGAAATAAGTTGAATTTCTCTCTCTTTGGGGAAATTAACAATTTAAACATTTACATGTTATAGGAGTTTAATGCCAGAAAACCAGTATTTGGGAACTATTCAGTAATCTCACCCCCCACAACTATACAAATGTATTTCTTAATGCAACAGCTGCTTACTGAGTATCATCTCATTAAGTGCCAGGCACCATCTCTAGTTGGAGGCCAACTGTTGGGCCAAAACAGATGCAGCCCCTGTTCTCATGAAGCTTATCAGCTAGTGAAGGGGGCAGCTATTAAATAATAGATTTCATGACACAGATTATGTCCAGAAATTATGAGAAAATGTTTGAAGCAAGAGAGCCATCCTTTGCATTGTCTCAGGTGGAAATGATACGGACAGGACCACAGAGCTGCCAGGTCTCCGGCCCGCCCAAGAGTGGTCTGGTTGTGGCCACAAGGGGGAGAATGAACATTACTGTAGACGGAGATGAGGTGGCCTGGCACTTTGAAAGGGGAAGAGGGATGCCGGGACCGGCTTGGCTCAATGGATAGAGCGTCGGCTTTGGGACTGAAGGGTCCCGGGTTCGATTCCGGTCAGGGGCATGTACCTTGGTTGCGGGCACGTCCCCGGTGGGGGGTGTGCAGGAGGCAGCTGATCGATGACTCTCTCATTGATGTTTCTGGCTCTCTGTCTCTCTCCCTTCCTCTCTGTACAAAATCAATAAAATATATTTTTTTAAAAAAAAAAAGGTGGAAGAGGGAAAAAGTAGAAGCAGGTGCCACGTGTTCTTGAGTAGGAGAGGGAAAAACGTTCAGTGACCTGAGATGACAGAGGAAAGGGAAATGCTGTTTTGAGGAAGATTCCCGAGGGGTTAGGTGCACCGCTCGCCTGCCCTCTGGAAACAAGAGTGTGCGCTAAGGCCTACGTCGTTTTCCCACCCGTGGACAGTTGCGTTTACTTTTCCTCTGGGTACCTCCCTGCCACTTCATAAACACACGCTGGCTCATTTGTTCAAAGACTGTATAATTATGAGATAAATATTGTGAAGAAGAGAGAGGCCTAATGCTATTAAAACACTAGTAGGAAAACAAAACAAAAATCCCTGACCAAAGAAGACTTCTCCAAGGGAGTGGCATTTGATCTGAGAGCTCAAATGAGGATGGGAGTAGCCTAGGTGAGGTGGAGGGGTGTTCCAGTGAGACAGCACGTATGCGTGCGAGGGTTCTGAAACAGGAGGATGACACTCCCCCACAAGGTCAGTGTGGCTGGAGTCAAGTGGAGGGACAGGGAGCGAAGACACTCCAGGTAAAGAGGGGCCCGGAACCTGCAGAGCCTTTGTCAGTGTGTCAAAGATTTTAAGTTCTTGTCCCCACAGTAGTTAATGCCATTAAAGGTAGAATAATAGAATTTCATTTGAAATGATCACTTGAGCTTCGGTGTAGACTAGAAAATCAGTTGGAAAGGGAGAAGAGTGAGATGATAGTCGATTTAAAGTGGCAGGAGAGAAGTGGACAGAATCAAGATGTTACAATGAACCTAAATGCTAAAACATCTGTTTGATCAGAGACCCCCGTTTGACAGGTTCTGATCGGACCAAAGAAAAGATGGATCCAAGGATCACACCTAAATTTCTGGTCTGAAGAACGGGATGGAGGGAGTGGCTCACTGAGTTGGGGAAAACTAGAAGAGGCCAGGTGTGTGGGAGGGAATTCACACACTGAGAAAGACTTGGAGTCTGAGGCACCTTTAAAACCCAGAGATCTCAGCTAGGGGTCTGTGTGCTTGATGCCAAAGACATGGCTGAAACACATACACTATAATAAAAGGTTTTCAGAGCATAACTATAACTGCTCATTTCTTTTACCTGCCTCCCCAATCTGTCAAAAGCAAAGTCGATGGCTTGTAGCAAACACTGCTTATTTTTACACATTCACACTTTACTAAAATTATTTAAAGGAACGCCTCACTTTAAGTTAGTACCACCATACATTCATTCACTCAATGGGGAATGTAACTATGGAAAACGTATGTAGCCAGTTCCGGAACAAAAGAATACAGACTGTGAATGAATGCATACACATATACTTGATCTGTAAATGGAAAGAAAATTCTTTACCATAATTATGACCAAGACTTGTTACCTTCTTTTTCCAAAACCAAATCTTATTCAAGTGGCCAGGAAGAGCAAGCGTTTTTAATGGAGAAACACTTCACTGTTACTAAACTGGTTTTCTTTCTCAACAGGTGATTTTTTATATATATATATATATCTCTTCAGTAAATGGTGCTGTTCAACTTCACTACAATCTGGGTGACATAACTGCCATTCTAGAAACTCTCCAAAACGTAAGTACTAATGGAAGCACTTGGCATGTGATTAAGGCAGGAAGAGTTGGTGCAAGAGGCTACCTGGGTCTGGATGAGGATAAATGTAACAGAAAAGGCCAACGCTATAATGAGCCCCCTGGACACAAATGCCGACTTTCATATTGGAGGAGTGTCTCCCTTAATTCTTGTAAATCCCATGGCAACAGCCAATGGGCCAGTAGGTTTTCAAGGCTATGTCTGAGAAGTTAATTATAAATAATCAAGAATTATAATTAACTGAACTAGGAGCGAAAGGTGGCTCCAATGTAGGTGACTGTGATGGGACAGCCTGTGGGTACACCATGTGCAGAAATAGGGGTGAATGTATGGTAAATGGCACCACTTTTTTTTGCAGATGTTTGCCACACTGGACTGGAAATATATGTGACCAGTCTGTGTACTGTTTGAATAACCGTTGTCTCCTCCAATCTCTATGTATACCTGACCGGTCATTCTCTTACAGTTGCGTCCTTTGGGTTGGGTGGGAAGGTATTGTGAAAACAAAACTTCATTTTCAACTGCAAAATTTATGGGTAATTCTTACATTAAATACATTGGCCTACATTATAGAAAAATCTCCAGCTCACTACTGTATCCTTAAATTTCAATATTACTGAAAGAGAAGGCTTAATTGTGTGGATAGGAAAAGCTAAAAATGAAGAAAGTGATTTTCTGGCAATTGGTCTCCATAATCAGTGTTTGAAAATAGCATTAACTTAGGAGAAAGTGTCTCTGTACCGATGATTTATAGCAATGGTACATTCTGCTGTAATAAATGGCACCATATCAAGTCAAAATCAAACTCTTATTAAGGCCTACCTAGATGGCAGGCTAATTCTGAGGCTATTGACCCACACAAAAAAATTGTTGCTCTGAACTATGATGATATTAGTTACCTAGGGAGTTTTGAATACTAAAGATGTATTTTTTCAGGATTCAAACAAACTTGGGTTAATTGAATCAGGGTAGTGTTTATAATGGAGATGGACACAATTAGGTTACACAAACTTATAGTAGTTATTTAATATACTATATACTGATATGTAAATGTGTTTTGGTAGTTATTTAGCACATTGTTTGCTGAAAATCAACTGTTTACTATTATCTGAAATAGTCTAAATGCTAACACTTTTGTAAGCTCATATAGCTAAATATAGATTCTGGTTCTTTTTTGACACCAATTCATCTGTAAGTATGTTGTTAAATTTTTACTCCATTAGTTCATTTAGTGTTTATTAATCTGTGAATTGTTTTTAAATAAAATTTAGGTGGGAATGAATTAGTGATATACACAAAGAAAAATAAAATAAGCAAGTGTTATTAAAAAGAAAATTATATAAGGAAATATTCTATTATATAGCTCATCTGTAAATATTCACGATTGGCAATGTGAAGTTTGAATACTGACTTAAAACAAAAATTATGTGAATGTGGGAAGGCGGGGAAGGAGTTGGCTGGTGAGAGCTAAATCCTTATCTTCCACATTAAGTCATCAATAAAGATTGGTTTTTGTAACTAAATAGCATATAACTATCAAATGTGAAGGCAAATATCCTAATGTGTAAGATACTGAAGGTCAAGTCTATAGGTCTCAAAATTGGGCAGAAAAAGAGGATCTAAATAAAGCCATTGTAAGTTATTTTCTTGATATCTGTACTGTTAAAAGGATAACTTGAGAAACTCAATTTTGCCCAATACCAGTGATGGATGTAATTGTGAATAGCATTTTCACCCCCACCTGCACTCCACCACCATTATTGCTGTTGCTACTTAATGTTTTCAGTTTGATATTTATAATTTTGCCACCAAGAAAGCAACTGATAACACGTGATTGACACAAAGCACTAATAGGACTATGAAGAAAAGAACTTAGTAACAAACAGCATGTAAAATTTAAGAGGAAAAACATGTAATTATCTGTTAAACAGACTACAAAAGGAGGGCTGGTGCAGTTAATGTCTAAATGCAAAATCTGCCTGTGTGGGCTCCAGGCTACACTACAAAGACACTAGGTAAGTAATTTGCCATTTGAAGAACTTTATGGATAATTTTTTAGCCTTATTTTTGCAATCAGAAAGTGATAGACATTCTTGGAAGGCCCTAGAACTAAAGCTGAGAACTTTGGCACTATTGTTGCCAGGCATACCATTCTTATTAACATTGAAAAGTGTGTGAGCAAAATATGTGGAATTCCAGAATGTCTATATATTGATTCAAAGGGGGTTTTGTTTTTAAAAGAAACCACAATGTTACCTGAAAAACTGACCTAAACCTGTTTTGGTCCATACCACTTCATTTCACAATTGAGATATTAATTGCTTGGGAAAAAAAAAATCCTTGATAATGATAATGAAATCTGACTTTTTTTTTTAAATATATTTTATTGATTTTCTACAGAGAAGAAGGGAGAGAGAGAGAGAGTTAGAAACATCGATGAGAGAGAGTCATCGATCAGCTGCCTCTTGCACACCCCCTACTGGGGATATGCCCGCAACCAAGGTACATGCCCTTGACCGGCATCGAACCCGGGACCCTTCAGTCCCCAAGCCGACGCTCTATCCATTGAGCCAAACCGGTCCCGGCTGAAATCTGACTTTTAAAGGTACACATTTTATGGCAAGAATGCTGTTAAACCATTTTCTATTGTTGGTGTTATTTTTCTTAACATCTAAACATATTTACTATGGCCTTAGACATTTTATAACTCCCAATTTTTAAGATTAATTCACCCACAACTAAGCTACAATTACTGAGCCAAGAGCTGTGATAAGTGGAATGGGCCCCAAAGTGGTCTACATCGGAATACCTGAAACCAGTAAATACGTTAGGTTACATGGAAAAGGGGAATGTCACAGATGGAATTCAGGTGCCACCTTGGATGATCTGGGTGGGCCCCAGGAATCACAAGGGTCCTTAAAAGTGGAACAGGGAGCCTCAGAGACAGCTGAGACTGGGGCCCATATTGTTGGCTTTGAAAAGAGAGGAAAGGAGCATAAGGAAAGGAAAGTCCGTGGCCCCTGGAAGCTGGAAAAAGCAAGAAAACCGATTCTCCTCTAAGCCTCCAGGAAATGCACCATCTGAGACATCTTAATCTCAGCCCACTGAGATCCACAGCAGACTTCTGATTTACAGGTATTAATATAATAAATCTGTGTGGTTTTAAACCACTAAGTTTGTAATGTTTGCCATAAACAAGAAAAATAAGGGCTGCAGAATTAAGATTTGAAATGGAAAACTTGATAAATCTGTACAAGAGAACTCACAAGTTTTTGGTTGTATCATCCTGCTCACTTTAAGGAGTGGACTGCTCTGCAGTGTTTCAAATAGGTTAGCAGGATGGGGAGGAAAGGGCTGGGAAAGGCAGAGAATAACCAGGCTTCTGACCCTCTCTCCGGCTCTCAATTCTCAGAGCACAGCTGCCACACATTACTGACTTCGGAGAAAAATAAAACTCAGCTAGAATCCCAGCCATGATCACAGCAATCTAACTTTTCCAAGCACCAGTTTCCTCAGTTCTAATATAAATCTTTACCTTCCAGGCTCAACAAGGTTTATATAAAGCATTCAGCACAGAGGGTTCATGGAGGCTTTCTTGTTGCCACAAGGGGTGGACTTTGTAGGTACCGAGACACCCTGGTACATTTTATTTCAACAGAGGTATGTATAAAACTATCTTTGGCATTAAACTTTTTTAAAGAGCAAGTTTTTCTTAAAACAGGAGAAAAATAAACTTCGTATAACTCGGTAGTTGGTAGAAGGCTGGCTGTGAGACTTAAGGACGGAGAATGGCTATGGATCTACCACTCATTGAAAACTTTTCTCATTTCCCCCTTAACTCTCCCTACTTGCCAGTTTCAGTGAACCAGGGGTTAGGAGATACGGTTTGAATCCTTAGTAGCCCCATAATCCCAGGAGATGGTTATCATTAATCATCCTAGAGGATGTGACAAGATCCAATGAGATATGATTAAACAATTATTAAACCATCACAACAATATATTATAATAAACTACTGGCTAAGAGACAGGCAAAACTGACTAAGGTTTTCTTCGCTGATTAACCCATTCTTGTACTTTGCAACCAAAAAAAAAAAAATCTGTTATCTGATCAACCTCCTACCAAATAAATCAGTAAAATCAAATTTACTAGCAACATACTAGTACATATTTGAAATTAAAAGGCTAATTTTGGAGGATTTGGTTGTGTGTGGGGGTTTTTTTGAGGGGAAAAAGGGAAGGAATTCTTGACAATTTTTTCCTTATTATGCAAAAGATGACCCACCAAATTAAGTTTTGTTTACAGTTTTTAAATAAGTTCGTTTCCAAAAGAAAAACAGACTAAAATTAAACAAATTTTACTTAAATACAAGTCGTTTCAGAACTTTTATGTTGAAAAACCTCAGAATAAGGACAAAAAAGATGCAAAGTGTTAAAATTAGACAAAATGTGTGGTTTTGAATTTCCGCTTCTCTCAGCAGAGAAATATGTAACAAGGTTGATTCCATTTAAAACCTAATTTTTAACTCTTAAATCCTTAAACTTTTTAGGATATCAAACATTACCCTTCTTAATTTTGTGAAGCCATTTATATTTTTCTTCATTAATATAGGTAAGTGAAAGTACCGGTTTCTCTTTTTTTTTGTTGGCCTCAAGTATTAATCAGTTGGTAGCCAATGCTTTAAATTATGTCAATACAATGTGTAGTTTATATTGTAATTAACTTTATATTTGTATTAACAATAGTCTCCATATGCTTTCTATTTCAAGCAAAACTGCAGTTACCTCCAAACCAAATTAGGGTTAATTACACATTTTACAGAGATTCACAACACATTTCTCATAAATTTCTGTGGTCTCACCATGATTAGTCAGCATACCAAATTTTGAGTGACAAGTCTTCAGAAACATACCTACAAAGTGGGCTATTCGCTGCAGTTTTTCATTGGTAGTTCAAAATTCTCCCTCTTCAAATCATGATTTTTTTTTATCAGCAACCTCTAAGACAAAATGGTTTTCCCCTCACCTAATGCCTGACACAGATAGCTATGCATGTTCTTGGCTGAGTAAAAAAAAAAAAAAAAAAAAGGTATGAAAGTAATCAGAGCTTTAGAGAAGAAATTCTTTTACTGAATTTCAAATCACACACACAAAATAGGTGAGAAATTCTTTTATCATATTTAGAATCAAAATATTCCTTAAAATATTTACATTTTACAGTAAAAAGGATAGCAAAACACAAGATCATGTACAAGCTTAAGTATTCAAGTTCCTGAAGAGGCAAAAGGAAACTAATGGTCTACCACAAAGCTGTCATATACATGGTAACACGTGCCCTCAGGAAGTGCAGATCAAAGCAGGAAATGTTCTCCTTGGGCTTCTGATTCTTGGTCAGAAACTGCCCAATAAACTGATTAATATAATCTGATTATGAAGTTGCTTGCCTTTGTGTTGCTTCTCTAGTTTCTTTAAAAACAGTGCAATTTAAACAAACTTACAGAGTACACATTACTCTCAAATTAGTCATAAAGAACATTCACTAGAGGCAGTAAATATATTCCAGAGTTAACTATATTTACCAATTAAGGAATAAAACTAAAATTTCTAAGCCTTTATTGCATATTAATAAAACAAATCTTTGAATATACAGCAATGTAAAACTTTTAAAAATATTCCTATAACTAGGACAGTTGGTATGAAGAAGGGGATGATGAGCACTGGTACAGAACACTCCGCACCAACACACGGAAATTATTCTGCAAACCACCAATAGTAAGTCTGAAAGATGGCACAATCCTAGCAGGCAATCAAAGTCTTTAAGATACAACATTTAACATTTACTTAAGAGTAATCTTGAAGCAGCTCGCAGATTTTACCTTTTGCTTTTAGCTCTATCAGTGTGGTCCCTATCTTTGTGGTAC